CCATGGAATATATTATTTATTTCAGGTACTTCTATAGCGCCGTCAATCTACGCAGCGCTCTACATATATATAGTACATTCACATCAGTCCCTAACCCTCAAGGGGTGTACAATCTAAGGTCCCTAACTCACATTCATACATACACATACTAGGGACAATTTAGACAGGATGCAATTAACCTACCAGCATGTCTTTGGAGTGTGGGAAGAAACCGGAGTACCCGGAGGAAACTCACGCATGCACATGGAAAACATGCAAACTCCAGGCAGGTAGGTGCCGTGGCTGGGATTCGAACCAACGACCCTAGTGCTGCCAGGCGGAAGTGCTATATATACTGGAACTTACGCAGCTATGACACTATACTGGTAATGGCGGTGAACAGAGACATATAGTGATAGTATGGAGGGCAATCCGGTGCGAACTGATGCTGGCTGGGAGGGACACTAACATCACTAGTGATACTAATACAGTGATCAGTGCTAATACTGTACTGATGACACTGGTTTGGAAGGGGTAACATCCAGGGGAAATCAAAGGGTTAACTGTGTGCCTAACAATGTGCAATGTGTGCTGGTTTTACTAATGGATGCCACATCCCTGCTCTCTGTATAGAGCCCTGTGTTGTAAGTAAACATGGGACTCTGTACTGTGATTCACTAAGGCAATCAGCAGGTCCCAGCCATAAATCATTGGCCGGGACCTGCTGACCGACTTGTGCTGTACTGAATGATTCTACCTGGAAAAGCTGGATCAAGTCCAAAGTACGTATACTGTGGATGGTCTTTAAGCAGTTAAACATGGTGATCAGCTGTAAGGCTCTTGTCAAATATGTAGTTCAAAGAGCTGAGTTTCTTTTTTATGTTTTTCTTAGTTTCTGTTATAAAATTTTGCAAATAAGTAATTTTTCTTCTTCATTGATGTGCACTGATGAGGCTGCACTTATAGGCAATGATAGGCTGCACTGATAGGCAATGATAGGCTGCACTGATAGGCAATGATAGGCTGCACTGATAGGCAATGATAGGCTGCACTGATTGGCACTGATGGGGTTGTACTGATAATCAGTGCCCTGATTATCAGTGTAAACAATGTACTGTCAGCCTTGACAGTTATTGGCTCTTCTTTCCTCACACAGACACAGCGTGCGAGGAAAGGAAATGTCGAAAACTGACATGTCTATTTACATGTGGTCAACTGTGATTGGACACAACTGATCACCTGGTAAAGGGCTGTTGTGATTGGCCCTTTACTGCAATCTGTGATTAGCTGTGTCCAAAGGACACAGTGAGGGAGAGGTCACCAATATGAGTCCAAAGGTTTTAATGAACGATCACATAGTTACAGTAAAGCAACATTTCGTAGCCCGCAGGACCCCTTCATCAGGCATGTGACACGCCTGATGAAGGGGTCCTGCGAGACTCCAAAAACATTGCCTTGCTGTGACTATGGGATCGTTCAATAAAACTTTTGGACCCATATTGTCGATCCTCGGTGTGCTGGTGACAATCTTCCTTGCTGATTCTGTTCGGTTCCAGCCGATGGTCGCTGCAGCACCCACTTATACACACAGCCATTTTTAACGCAGGAACGTGTGCATTTGGATTCTACACTTGCAAAGGACACAGAGATCTGAAAGCTTGCCCAACTGTGCACCCCAGGGGGGCATACGGAAGGCACGGTTCTGGGAGGACGTCCATGGACGCCCTCCTAGAATCTGAGAGCTTTGCTGTAGCTATCTTCGGCTATAGTGTCGTCAAGAAATGGTTAAAAATACTTTAAACCTTGCAGTGCAGGGGAGCCCAATTGCAAGACAGATTTTTTTCTTTTCTCCAAAGTTCAACTTTAAAGGACCAATTTTAGGGAAAAAAATATTACACTGTTCTCCATTAGCTTCAATAGAGGACAGGTGAGACTTTAGGGGTCTAAAAGACAAGAACGACAAGAAACTCTGGTTGGGTTTGAGCTGTAAGGGCTGTGGAATGATTAGGTGCCAGATTCCAATGTCATTGGGCATTGAGGTTATGTTCACAGCAGCCGGGGCGTTACAACACAGTGACTGGTGTGTGGTGCGGTCAGGCAAGATAAGCGCAGTGCAGCTGCAACAATCTTGGTGCATCACACTGTTCACTTTTTTTTTTTTTTTTTATTAATGAACTTATTGAAACGTCACAAAGTTCAACTGGCCACGTTTGTCGATTGCCTAGCACTGTGCGTTACAACACAGTGACTGGTGTGTGGTGCGGTCAGGCAAGATAAGCGCAGTGCAGCTGCAACAATCTTGGTGCATCACACTGTTCACTTTTTTTTTTTATTATTGAACTTTATTGAAATGTCACAAAGTTGAACTGGCCACGTTTGTCGATTGCCTAGCACTGTGCTGAAAAAAAGTAATGCACGCAGTACTTTTTTCATCACACACCAACCGAACACCGTCGTACTGCAGTGGCAGTACTCTGACTGTGGCGCATACACAGTCCAAGCGATAGGGCCGGTATGCCGAGATAATGCAACCTCAACCCATATGCACAGGAGTTCCATCATCTCTGTCTGCCCAGTGGGCAAAGCGATGTCAGCGGCAGACCTGAAAGGAGAAGAAGGACATGGCACCGGTGGGGAAAGAGTGGATGTGGGCAGCTCAGACCTCGTATTGCTGGAGGAACACATCCAGATGTAAGTGTTTCACAAAGTGCACATTTGTTGTGCATACCTGCACATTATGGTAAATGCCGTCTGCCCTTATCATGCTTTACTCCCACTTTACTGTCTGTGCTCACAATGGATGGGAAGCCCCGCCCAACTTCCGGTGTGGTCGCTAGGACAGACGTGAGCAAAATCTTTAAACCATGATCGTGAAATGTAACAGAATTCTAACCCTTCCTCGATCTATCCAAAAGGGGAAAAGTAAAATTCTACATTAATAAGTTCGTTTTTTATGACCACATGGAGACATCATAATAATTTATGTTAGGTTCACACCTATGCGTGCTGCGATTGATGCATTTTTTTCTAGGTCGTCTTGCGTTTTTGAACATGTGTTTTGCTTTTTTTGGGGGGGCCAATAGGAAAGTATGGAGTACGACTTTGGATGGGTGCAACTTTGATGCTATTTGAGTGCCAATAAAGAGTGTAAAGTCGCACCCATCCATAGTGGCATCAAAGTCATCCAAAGTGGCATCAAAGTCACCCATCCAAAGTGGCACCAAAGTCACCCATCCAAAGTGGCATCAAAGTCACCCAAAGTGGCATCAAAGTTGCCCCATTCAAAGTGGCATCAAAGTCACACTCATCCAAAGTGGAATCAAAGTCACACCCATTCAAAGTGGCATCAAAGTTGCTCCATTCAAAGTGGCATCAAAGTTGCCCCATTCAAAGTGGCATCAAAGTTGCCCCATTCAAAGTGGCATCAAAGTCACACCCATCCAAAGTGGCATCAAAGTCACCCATTCAAAGTGGCATCAAAGTCACCCATCCAAAGTGGCATCAAAGTCACCCAAAGTGGCATCAAAGTCACCCAAAGTGACATCAAAGTCGCCCAAAGTGGCATCAAAGTCGCCCCATTCAAAGTGGCATCATTCAAAGTCACAAAGTCACACCCATCCAAAGTGGCGTCAAAGTCGCCCCCATTCAAAGTGGCATCAAAGTCACACCCATCCAAGGTGGCATCAAAGCCGCCCCCACTCAAAGTGGCATTAAAGTCACACCCAAAGTTGCACCAAAGTCACACCCAAAGTGGCACCAAAGTTGCCCCATTCAAAGTGGCATCAGTCACACCCATCCAAAGTGGCATCAAAGCCGCCCTCAAAGTGGCATCAAAGTCACACCCATCCAAAGTGGCATCAAAGTCACCCAATCAAAGTGGCATCAAAGTCACCCAATCAAAGTGGCATCAAAGTCACCCATCCAAAGTGGCATCAAAGTCACCCAAAGTGGCATCAAAGTCGCCCCATTCAAAGTGGCATCAAAGTCACACCCATCCAAAGTGGCATCAAAGTCACACCCATTCAAAGTGGCATCAAAGTCGCCCCCATTCAAAGTGGCATCAAAGTTGCTTAAAAGTCACACTCAATACTTTCCTATTGGTAAACCCCCCGCCCCCCCTGCAAAATGCATTAAAAACGCAACACTTGCGGTTTTGTTTTGAACAAATGGTGTAGCGCTGTAAATGCTAAAATACCATATTGTCAAATCATAATATAAATAATATTAAAGTGAAAGAATATTAATAAACCTTGTGTATCCTTATTACCTTAATTAAAAGTGAAATACATTCCAAAGAAAATATAAAACCAAAGGGACCAATTATAAAACCGTGACATATATCAATTAATATAAATAAATAAAAAAAGTCCCAAGAAGTGAAGAAACAAGTCTCAACAAGTTTAAAAAATAATTATAGCACAAAAACATATATAATATATAATCTAAAAATCAAGATTTTTCCATTCTTCAACTTTTATATTCCCACTTTGTATTGTGCGCTCATATTTATGGTACCAATTATATCCATCGCCTACTAGTGTGTGCGCTCACCTCAGAAATTCGACCCTCAAGGAGTCAAAGAGCAATCAATATCCCCGGATAATCCCTGGTTGGATGGATCTCTCCCTTTATGTGGTTCCAGTGAAGTCTATTGCACCAAAAACACAATCGTCTGCGGGGAAAAAAGTACCTGACCCTTTCCAAAAACAAGGAAGCGGCTGAAAACGCATAAATGTGAATGTGTCCCATAGAAAATCTGCAGAAAAGCGCAGAAGTGTGAACCTAGGCTTATGGTTCATTAGGTCATGATATGCTGAATCAACTTGCGCTTCTCAAACAGCAGTGTTTACCTAATTGTGGATTCCATAACAGATCAGTAAAGGACGGGGAGGGGGGGGGGGGGGGCTACAATGACAGGTCTTTGAGGAATCTAGTTTTAGTTTGACCTGGAAATTCCTCTCCTAACAGAACCCGTCTTACCTCCAGCCGAGCTCTCTATTCTCTATTTATGGCCATCTTACCTCCATGCTCTAGGAATACTCTCACACATCTTTCTTTTCCACGTGCTGCTGAAAAGTGAAGCAGAGTCCATCCATTGGCATCCCGACCATTGGGCGAGTAGCCCTGTTCCAGCATAGTGCGTACGGTGTGGACGTCTCCTGCAGCCACAGCTGCCTGTATCCGGAGCTCCTCCTGCAGCTCAGGATTCCTGCGGCAGTGGTGATGTAACATCCTCCCCTCTGTTGTTTCTTAACTATAGAGTCATGGGGCTGCAAGTCGCCTGTCATTGCAAACATACAGATGTCAATGTCAAAAAAAAAACAAGTGGATTTTAAAATAAAAGTGTTCAGAATTCCAGAATTATTGGTATTTAACCACTTCAAGTCCGGACACTTTCACCTCCTTCCTGCCCAGGCCAATTTTCAGCTTTCGGCGCTATCACTCTTTGAATGACAATTGCACGCGGTCATGCAACACTGTACCCATATGAAATCTTTATAATTTTTTTTTCACACAAATAGAGCTTTCTTTTGGTGGTATTTAATCACCATGGAGTTTTTTTATTTTTTGCAGACAGAAACAAAATAAATAAAAAAAAAAAAGCTAAATAAAACAAAAAAAAACACTAAACTTTTGAAAATAAAAACACACTTTTCTTTGTTTCTGTTATAAAATTTTGCAAAATAAAAAACATTTATTCATAAACATTTTGGTCATGCAACACTGTACCCATATGAACTTTTTAGCATTTTTTGAGATGGATAAAACTTTATTTTGGTGGTATTTATTCACCACTGGAAATTTAATTTTTTTGCTAGATGAATGAAAAAGTCATAACTCTCAACACTTTACCCTGATTCATCTTTTTTAGGCCTCATTCATATAGGTGCACCAATCGGTACACCTGTGCGAAGGGGGATTCTTCACCCCCGTAGGATGCACAGGTGGTCAGATCACTGACAGGTGGACAGCTGCATGGATCTCCACTTGCTACTGTTTTGTAACCTTTACATACTGCTAATGTGCATACTTTAACCACCTCCCGCCCGCCATATAGTACAATGACGGGCGCAAGGTGGTTCTCTCGTTCTGGGAGGACGTCATATGACGTCCTCCCATTCTCACTGCGCATGCGCGGCTCAGGGAGTGCGCAGCGCGGCGATCGGCGGTGCGCTGTGTCCCTTTGACACAGCGGATCACCGATCACGGAAAGAGCCGAAGATGTCAGCTCGGTCATGTGATCAGCTGTGTCCAATCACAGCTGATCGCATGTAAACAGGGAAATGCCGGTTATTGGCATTTCTCTCCTCTCGAGCTATCACGCTGACAGCTCGAGAGTTGAAGAGAGACGGTAATCGGCTTTCCGCGGAGGGGACATGTACACTGATCATCAGGGCACTGATGATCAGTGTGCCCTGATGATCAGTGTAGCCCCAGCAGTGCCACCTGTCAGTGCCTTGTGTCAGTGTTCATCAGTGCCTCATGCCAGTGCCACATATCAGTGCCTACCAGTGCACATCAATGCCACATATCAGTGCCCATCTGAGCTGCCTTTCAGTGTCACCCAGTGCCACCTACAGTGCCACCTACCAGTGCCAGTCAGTGCCGCCTATCAGTGCCAGTCAGTGCCGCCTATCAGTGCCAGTCAGTGCCGCCTTTCAGTGTCCTTTCAGTGCCCGTCAGTGATGCCTGTCAATGCCCATCAGTGCCACCTACCAGTGCCTCCTCATTAGTGCCCATCACTGCCACCTATCAGTGTCCATCATTGCAACCTATCAGTTCCCATCAGTGCAGCCTCATTAGCGCACATCAGTGAAGGAGAAAAATCACTTATTTACAAAATTTTATAACAAAAACTAAGAAAAAACATTTTTTTTTTCAAAATTTTCAGTGGTTTTTGGTTTGTTTAAGAAAAAATAAAAAAACCCAGAGGTGATTAAATACCACCAGAAGAAAGCTCTATCTGTCACAAAAAAAGATAAAAATTTCATATGGGTATAGTGTTTGCATGACCGCGCAATTGTCATTCAAAGTGTGACAGCGCTGAAAGCCGGAAATTGGCCTGGCCAGGAAGGGGGTATAAGTGCCCTGTAGCCTAGAGATTAAAGTGATACTGAAGGAAATTTTTTTTTTTTAAATAACAAACATGTTATACTTACCTGCTCTATGCAATGGTTTTGCACAGAGCAGTCCCGATCCTCCTCTTCTCGGGTCACCCACTGACACCCCTGACTCCTTCCTGCTGATTGCCCCCACAGCAAGCCACTTGCTATAGGGGAACTCATGCATGCCCACTTCTGAGCCACTGACAGCCCCCCCACCCAATCTCGCCTCATTGACTGTGATTGCCAATGGCTCCTGCCACTGTCTCTGAGCCAATGAGGAGGGAGAGAGCAGAGAGGGATACTGCTCTCGGTTGCAGCGCCGGATCCCAATTGGGCCCAGGTAAGTATAAGGAAGGGTTGGGGGAGGGCTGCACACGAGCGATTTTTTACCTTCATGTATGGAATGCATGAAGGTAAAAAAAATCTTCAGCCTTTAGAACCCTTTAAAGTTATAACTGTCTAATGTGATTTTCCTGACATGTTGAACACGACAAAGACTTTCATTGTATTGTTCATTTAACCCCTAGACGCCGAATGCGCACAAAAATATGCAGCCTCTTGGAGTCTGGGCCTTGACGGCGAGCGGCCGCATATTTGCGTACCACTTGAAAATAGATATGTGCTGACAGCGCGCGCCTTGCGCGCTCCCAGCACATATGTTCGTGACTCGCGGAAAGGTCCCGATCTCCCCTTGCGATCGGGACCATTTCCGATCATGTGACCGCCGTGAGAGCGAATCACGGCGGTCACATGACCCTAAAACCCCTCCCCACCTCCTGGCTTCTGAAACCTCTTAAAGGGCCGGGAGGTGCCGGTGCAAAGGGGTTAAGCACACGAGACCCTTCCCTTCATAAGATTTTAGTTTTGCAACTTTTAGAGACAGCTGAAACGTGGCATTATTCTATTTGCTGATTTTTAATAACATCTCTCCCCACCCCCTTTCTTATCTTTTGTATAAAATAAGATGTAACAAATAAAGTTTAGAACAGATGCTCTGCCGGCTCTCTGTTTGATCTGTTCTCTGCAATTGCATACTTCTTTTCATTCATCAGTGTCTCAAACAGAAAAATCTATAACAAAAGCTTTATCTATGAACTTGCTTGTTTTTATACTATACTTAAAATGGTTGTAAACCTCAGCCATGAAATATGAACAAAGAATATCCCTCTATAGTGTGTGCGTGTCTCAATCCAGAGCACTAAGTGTCAATTCTCTCTCCTGCCTCATTCCTCTGCTCTCAGTTTGAGTCACTTCTGGCAGGTTTTCCTGACACCGAGAGACAAAAAGGTGACAGGGAAGAATCTTCAGCAGACAGCCTGTGATTGACAGCCACAGCTCTCTTTCTGTGTGTTGTGTGAAGAAGGGTGTGTCCCTTCCCTTCAACCAGCTCTCACTGGACTCTGCAGAGCGTAAATTTAGCCCTCTGCGCCCCCACTTTCTGAAAGCTCAGACAAGCTGTAAATTCTGCACTTTGAGCGGATGTAGAACAGTGTTTATCAACCTTTTTTCAGTCAAGGCACCCTTTAAAGTTTTGGACAATCTCAAGGCACCATTTCAAATTATGGACAGCTTTGAGGAACCCCATTCTAACATGAAAAAACTAGGTGGTGATTTAGGGCTCGTTCACACTTGGCTGTTTTGCCAACGCTTGCCAAACGCCCCTATAGCGTTTGGCAAGCGTTGGTACGGCGTTTGTGAAGCGTTTAACGCTCGGCAAACGCTCCGCAAAACGCCGCATGTGCGGTTTAGCGGCGGTTGCTAGGCGTTTGCCGAGCATTAATAACGCCCCACAAACGCCTATAATGCAGTTTGAGTGGTGTTACCGCTCCGCAAACGGCCCGCAACCGCACCGCAAACGCCGGCCGGGGCGTTTGCGGAGTGGCACCATAGACGAGAATAGGAGGCTTCAACGCCTCCTGACTCCTCCAGAGCCGTCCGTTTTGCCGCGACGCAAACGCTCCCGTTAGAACAGCACCATGTGCTGTAATGTGCAGAATTGGCAGAGGCGTTTGGGAAGCGGTAAAAAACGCTTCCCAAACGCCTCTCTGCCGCCTGCACACAGCGCTAGTGTGAACGTAGCCTTATTCTTCCAAATCAATACACTTTTGCGCAGTGGTACTGACTAGTATTCCAGTGTTTCTCTTCTCGCTCAGTTTTTTTCCCATCACTCAGCTAATATAACCCAAGCGGGCAGGAGAGGGGCAAACAAGAATTCTGTACAGACGACCGACATCCTCCTCATCAACTGATGAAGTCATTGGTTGTTGGAATCATTAGCCGTAATGTTGCATAATTAAAAAATATGAATTTGTGTAACTAAAAGGCAGGCTTGTTCCACCCGCTGGCTTGTATACAATTTTTGGGCAATTTTGTATGCATTTTGCCAAGGCACCCCTGAAGAAACCTCAAGGCACCCTGGCTGGAAAATGCTAATGTAGAGAACAGAGGACTGCAGACTAACAGATACAACTTATGTAGGAGAATTTGTTTCATCTCTGTATCTCCTGAGGCCAGTCACTTCACTGGGTATATGTAAGGGTTTACAACCACTTTAATGAAGTAAAACAAAATAATAATAATAATAAAAAAAAAAAGATTATGTTTATGTGCATAGTTGCTACACACTATACAGGAGAGAGGGAAAAAAAGAACAGACTTGCTGTATTCATAAAAACAAAACATGTACCTCTCACGACTTTGTCACACCGTCTTTGTGATATTTCGAATGCTTCTCATATGGCTTGATCCGCTGCCGCATTGCATTGCAACAGAAATAAAAAAGTCTTCACCTTGTAATAAAGAAAAACATGACAATTTATATTTTCAAGTAACACGCTGTCAATATAGAACATTGCTACTTGGTGCAATACTCTCCATTTTAATTCAAAGATTACAATGCAATAAAATATTTTTTTTTTAACCTCCTCGGCGGTATGATTCTTTCCAATTTTTTGTGCTGAAAGCGGGTACCATTTTTTTGCATGGAAATATGTAGTTTTTTATTGTAGGCTGTAATTTTTAGGAATAACTCACTGAAATCTGTCCGAACAAGAGTCTATTAAACATCCCGGGTATTATAAAAATTTGAAACACGAAATCATAAATTATAATTTAATAAATAATCAT